GAGATAAGGTTCCTGTACTGAATCATAGTATTTTTTAGTCTTGATAGATGATTGAATACAATTCTCTGTTTAGAATTATGCGACCACTTTCGCTGGGTTAATCCCATTTCAAAACAGTTTGCTTTTAAAAAATTGTTTTATTTTCTTTATTCCGTGAACTCTTTATCTCTAAAGTGTTAATCTTTGTAGTTAAAATTCATTCTGACCTGTTAATGTGTTATTGTTGAAGGAAAACGGCGATGGTTCTCACCTTAGATTTGCAAGATTTCCTTCTTCGGGGTCGGGTGTTGAAGCTGTACAGACAAGCTCTCAGGATTGCGAGGAGAGCTCCAGATGGTTCTAGCGGTGAGGCATCAATCCAATCAATATAGTCATATTGCTACTTATTTTTAGCTGTAAAAAAAAATTTATTTCAAAACTTGCTTATTTACGAAATTTTAAATTTTTCAACATTAGTCAAACGTGCATTTTGAATGGATGCCATATTTTCCTTTACAAATTAGTTATTCTATTGGTTCCTTCTGGGAATTTTGAGCTCATTTATATAATATCTGCAAAAAATTATCTTCTGATACTGATATATTCTCCTGGTTACTACTCTGAGCACGCCATTGTGTTTTCAAGCTAAATTCATCTCGTCTATTATTATTTTTCCCTCCCTGTCTTCAGACATTAATATCTTTAAGTATCAATCAGAGATCCCAGATTGCTCTTGAGGCATTAGAGTTTAGTCAAACTATCGTTTCTTGCTGAACGAAAATATTATAACTAGTCTCCTATAGCATTTTGTTTTTAGCTGACAAATTTATAATGGGAAGCTCGGGTATAATCCTGCCTTCATAGAGATTTATTCTTAATGAGAATTTGTTGAGATAATATATTTTGTACCAATCCATTAGATATTAGTGGTTTCATAAATGCGTGAATGTGGCACATCGATCGCGATCATTGACGAGAATTCCTGCTTCTATTAGGAATTAAAGTTATGGTCGTGCTGCTTTATTCCTTTTAAAAATTTTGGTTCTTGGTTGATTCTTTATGCTTCTTGTTAATTTTGCCGGCTCCTTATAATTGAATTTGTACTTCCTCTTCTCATCCTCTTTTTCATTCTCCTCTTCAAATGGAAGCCATGTGATAGCTCTATATGGTTGTTTTTTTTATTAATTTAAATATTTAGGCTGGTTATTTATGGTTTTAAAATAGTGTTAGCTCTTATTCTTTGGCTGTTCTTTGGATGTCTCACATCATTGCTCATGATGTTGTCGGCACAGATGAATTGAGACAGATAATTAGACAAGAGATTGAGAATAACAGGACTTGCAATGACAGGCAGAGGATTAGATTTTTGATCAGTGATGGCTTAGAGAGATTGAAACGTTTGGATGAGACACTTGATATGCAGGGTCATTCCTGATAAATATCAGGTACGCAACGATTTCGTCAAATTGCAATCATCTGTTTAACCGATATGTAAGATTTGTTATTGCTTACCTTGCAATTGAATATAACAAGAAGATTGAATCCATGTACTCCTTATTTTTTTATGACGAGATTATTTATTATTGGACATGTTTAATTCTCGTGGACAAGAATGAAACTATGCACTAGCTCTCCATGCTTCCTCTGTCCTGAAGAACTGAAGTCTTTTCTAGTCTGGCCTCCTCTTAATCTTCAGCGGGTCAGTAAAAAATATAGAAAATGCTGAAATTCACCTGCAGAAGGGCTGCAAAAAAGTTACTTTCTGCATAA